CATATGCAGTCTCTCCCCATGTTACCCATGTTGCTTAAATCACCCCATCGTTACGCTACCCTACGGCCCTACGGCCCTCGCCATCTACGGCCCTAGGGCCCTCGTCCTTGGGGGCGGGCCGCACGCTGGGCTGGCTGGGTTGGCCCGCAGCGTCCACGAGGTGCTCGTCCAAGCTCCCATCAGAGAGCCGTACCACCCGCTTCCTGCCACCGAAACACCGTCGCATGGTGGGTGGTCGGGTCATGGCTAGGGGCTAGGGCCTAGGGTTCAGAAAGGGGTTTAGTAACGGTTTATGGCGATGAGTTTGACATCTTGATACATCTTGTAACTGGAGGGCGGCACCTTTGAAGAGAAGTCTTTTTTGATGGGAAACTGATGAACATATATAACATGCTGTAGATTTTCTCCTGGAGTTTAGGTGATTTGAGATTATTTCAATTCCAGTAAAACATGTAAAAACATGTAAAAAGCCATAGATCTTCATGGGCCCACCATGGCCCACCATGGCCCAGGTCGGATTTTCAGCCAGAACCCCACCCACCGCCGCGACCGAGGGACACCGGTGACTTGATCTTGACCTGAAAACGGGCAGATTCCTGGGCTAACCTCACAGATCGCAGATTCCTCGTTCTCTTAAACTGGAAATCAACCGTTTGAGGTTTGAGAAAGATGTAAGCTTTGGTTTGAATTGTGGCGTTTCTACCTGTGTCTCTACATGTTGAACTACCCCAGAGAATTTGAACGCGCCCAGAAGACAAAGGATCAGACAAAAACACAAAGAATCACAAAGAGCTCATGGTCGGGCTGTCCAGTTCCGTCCCCCAAAAAAACATGATCCCTCCTAGCGAAACCTTAAAACAGACCATGACTGCCATGTGAGTCTGGGAGTTTGAAACAACTATTGCATCATGTTGACTCTGAGATACAGGAACCATGTGTAGTGCATACTTCCATGAGATACCCTCAAAGATCTCAAAGTTAGACAACTCATTGTTCATCATCTTTAATCATATCTCCATAGTAGTGATCCTCCGCACTTATTCCAGGGCGAAACTGGGTCGTTGGGATTCTCTGAAACACGCCCAGACGCCGGTGGCGCTGCGTCATCTCTGTAGATCAGCATGTCTTCGCTGGTCACCAACAGAGGAAGGGATAAGAGGAACAGCACAGACGCCTCGCTGCTTGTGGTGTCAGTAATTATGTAGGGATTCTACATAGATGGTATCCAGTTGACGCCTTAGAATAGTGGAGGAACCATGGAAGGCCATGATTTTTGCTCTAGATGTGTAACTGTATGGCAGCTTCAGTAGGGCCTTTTTCTCATGTCCTCTTCCTCTTTCTTGAAACACATCTTCGATTGAAGTGGGCATTCACCAGAAACCACGGCATTGCTTCAGAACACACGTCAATGGGCCCACTATAACCGCCCAATTCTCACACCTGTATGGTGCAGAATGCAAATCATGTAACCATGTTTTTCACCCTTCATCCATGTCCAGACTGCTCCGCCTCAATCTGAAATGCAAATTCATAGGAGAAGCCTTGCGCCGTCGTGTAGCCAGCGATGATGGTGCCTCTGCTGCTGGGGGCCACCGAGTGATCCCGAGTGCCTCTGCTGGGGATTTCTGACTTAGCCCGATTTGAAGTGGGATAGGTTCACTCACTACCTGAATGTTCTTTCCAGTTGTGGGAAGTGGTTTATGACTATATGGCTAATTATGGCTATGGGTAGAACAACAATCCAGTGGATACCACTAGTTTGTGGGACATGACATGATCTGAAGTATATAGAGATGTCTCATTACATGTGATTGCCATCCACCTTCTAAGTACTCCCTTGCCGTTCCATGTCTCGACGTCCCCGAACTTTGCCGATTTTGCCGGTACCCTCCGGTACTCAGGAAATCCCCAACAAAAATGGATTTCCAATAACTGGGAACAAAAACATCGAACAAACCATGGAACTAATACCCTCTGGTAAACTAACATAGCTATTGAAAATTGCCATTTATAGTGGATTTACCCATTAAAAATGGTGATTTCCATAGCTATGTTAAATTACCAGAGGGTAAATGGTGTGGATTTCCCAGCCACGTTTTCCCAACTTCGGACCCCCCAACGCGTTGCCGGGCCGAGATGCCCAAGCCGTTTCCAACACCAGAGGAAACGCCTCCGCCTGGGGATCATCCGATTACCCGGAGAACATGTCCTTTTTCCGCGCGTTGTCCCAAGGGTATAGGCAGGGTATAACCCCAGGGTATATACGGTATAACCAGTAAAGAAGTGGATGATCCTGAAAGTAAACAGTACCCTCTGGTAAACTAACATAGCTATTGAAAATGGATGAACATGGCCCATGTTTTGTGGATTTACCATGATTTAGCCGTTAAAAAAGTGATTTTCCATGGTTCTGTTAGCTTACCAAAGGGTATCCTCCATATGCCTCGGAAACCACTTCAGCCATCGCCTGACAAGTTCATCCAAATGGGCAAGGACTCAGCCGTGGCCCACTTGCCGATCCATAAGGGAGCCCAAACCCACTGAAGGCTTTCAGTGAAACCGATCCTGAGGGCATTGCCACCAATGGATCCAATGGCAACCCAAGAAATTTCATGAAATTCCGACATCGAGGAGGCGTGTTTCAAAGTTTTTAAAGGGCTTAAAGCAGAACTTGGTGATCTAAATCTGATACCCTGATATACCCTGATGATTGTGATGCAGTTTTGGCATTCGAAACTGGATACCCCGTCAAAAAAAAGAAAACACATGGTATTGTAGCGTACTGAACGCCCCAAAATCCAAGAGGATATATTTGGTACGGCCCGGCATCTTGGAAGTCCATGCAGCTCATTTCAAACACCTCTCATAGTAAAATTAGCAAACAAACACATATGAGTGTGCCTGAAAGTGGTGCATACCATTTCATAACGCCAAATGGCCAATCTAATACGAAAACTATTGATAAACTATGATAGACTATTTTGTTTTCAAGGGGTTGCCGCTGAAATGTTCAGAGAAACTCATTTCAACTGCATTCGAACCATCCATCCGCATGCTACTCACCGCGAAGGCTCAAGAGCTTGGCTAAGCACATCGCCGTGGGATTTCGGAGAGTTCCAAAGGCCATGGTGGATGCAGAGTTCACTAAAAGACCTGCCACGAGATGCCATATTTCGCCACTATTAAGAGGGGGTATACGTCCTGAATTTATTGGGGCTATCAGTAGTCATATTAAGATTGTTATGTAACTAACAGCATCAAAATATAGTTAATAAAACTAAAACTAAATAAATAGTTGGATAGCTTAGTACAGGGTTATAAGAATAAACTATCCATTATTACATAATTACAAGCACCTCGCAAAAATAACCTCAACTGCAACCCCCAAGCATAGTCATCCATTGCCACGGCGACTTTTGATGTGGTGCCATGGTATGCCATGGTCCATAGTGGACAAAAATCTCAGGGCCTACAATGCTGAATTATCTATCAGATTGCGTCCGCCTAACTACAGTAGATAGGTCGCGGTAGGTCGGCAAGGGTTCCTTGACCTTGTCAATTTTCGGGCCATTTTGGGGCAAACCTATGCTGACCTAAGAAGCAATTAAAAGCTTGGAAGGACCACTGATGTCTCAACCCTTGTGATCAATTTATTTGTTTACTTACGTACTTATTTTATTTATTTGCATAGTTTCATAATTACAGCTATTACTTACTATCATTATTATTACTATTATAATTACTATATATAATATAAATATAAATATAAATATATATATCAGTTTGACAGAACATTGCGCTGGCTGGTACACCTGCAGTTCCATTTTGGGCTTTAAATAATTACTTGGGAGTCTTGTTACTTCCCCAGCTGACAGGCCACCAAATCCAGATCTGACCTATGCAGAGCAGAAGCTTGGAGCTATATCGCTGCAGCATATATCCTTGGTGCAAACTCGCTAATCAACGCCAGCGGCCTGCGGCCTGCGGCCGCAACCTGCTTCCAAGCATCCCCAGAAGGCAGCTGCCATCGTCATTCCTATCTTGTCCATGGATCCCAGCAACCTGGAACTTGGACGCCGTCCATGCTGAATGATGAGAGGTTGGCAAATATGCATGAAATTCATGACCACCTGCCACAACGCGCCTGTGGCGCATGTTTTATCCATGCTTAGTGTAGACCATTCTTGTCTGAGGGGGTAATTCCTATCAATTATAAATAAATTAAGATAAATTGATACATGTTCATCAGTTCAGTCCCAACTCTCGTCTCCCGTGCCCCGCCGAACGCATCGGACAGCCGAGCTGCCCAATCCCTGCCGGACTCCATTTCTCCTCATGTTGAATAGTGTCCACAGTCGCTGCCGTGGCGCCGCCTAGGAGATACCACTGGCACCATCCAGGCTTGGCAGACCCACTTCCCAAATGATCAAATGGTTCACCATCTCCTGAACCAAATCATCCATGGGATGCCTCCTGGAATGTGGCAGTTGACTTATTCATTGTGTTTACTTGCCCACGATGATCCCAGGGACATGTTTACTCCACCTGCGATGCTTCTGAGGCGCCATTGTAGGCCATAAAGATGGGAACCAACAGACAAAACAGCGCGAAGATGACGCATGGCGGCGGTTCCAAGCCCATGGCGCGTTTCCCAAGCAAAAGATGTCAACGATGCGCTGAGGTGTAAATTATGCAGCTGGTGTGGGCTCCTACAGCATCTAAGCAGGACCACTTGCTCTGACCTTGTTGATCTACACAGCACGACTCGACTGTCTCGAACCAGGTACCTACAGCGAGGTAGCATGCGTGGAGGAGGTTCTCCCATTTTTCCACTTGCTCATGTGATGAACAACGCCCCAATGGCTTGCAAACACCCTTCCCTGACATCTTGACACCCTGGCTCCACCAAAAACCGACCTCAGCACCTAAGCATTCCAGTCCCTCTTGGGTTCAAAAATCCGCCGAGTTCAGCCGTCCAGCCATTGAGGCCCGCCCCATCTTTTTCCAGTCCTCAGTTGCGCGACCTGGACCGCTCCCGCTCCTCAGCCGAGCCCTTGCCCTTCCCAGCGCCCTTGGCTCCGCCCTTCGACGAGTCGTCCAGGCGCAAGCCAGCGGCGCGAGCTGCTTTGAAGGGGTGGAATTCCATTGCCTAAAGGTGGCCCAATCCCTTCACTGCAACGGCATTTATGGGTTGATAATGGTTAATAATTTGGTTATAGTAATAAATAGTCATGTTAACAACGGGGTTGATAATGAGATTTATGAGATTTACTGAGCATGGGTTAATGATGGGTCATGTGTTGGGTGACGCTCTGCGTGATTCCTGGTGCAGCCAAGGTGCCAGAGACAGGAGTTTGTTGCTGGCGGTCTGCCTGACGTCCTGCAGGCTACTCCGTTAGAAGCATCTGCCACTCGGGGAACAATATCCCACAAGTACAGCCATCCACTAAGTCTGTGAAACAACACTCTAAATACAGTGAAATGATCACATGAACTTTCAGCATATAGATTTGACACAAGTATATCTCAGCATTGAAGCTATATATAACCTGGATATACAGTATATCTCCAAAACACATGACATGAGGATGTCACTAACGAAAATAGGACGAAACCTGCCCTACCTCCCTAATCTCCTCCAAATGTTCAACCAGGAGTGCTGCCATTCGTCGTGGATTGGCTTCTCCCTTCCCTTTCTTCGCCTGCAAGATGGCGGCCGTCGGAATCGTATCTGGTACAGTGAACCAAGTCATCAAGGAATTACCCAATTACCCTAGAGACCCAAGTGGTCTTTCTCGACACAAGCCCAAATGGCATGATCATACAAAGGGTCAAGGGGAATGAGGTGACGTTTTTGCTCGAGGGCAGGACCTATCCACAAATGTCATGACATTTGTGGCATACGTATGGTATATCTTTACTATATCTATGGCATATCTATGGTATCTCTATAGTATACTGTATCTATGGTGTGGTGTGTCTATCTATCTATCTATCTATCTATCTGTCTGTCTGTCTATCTATCTGCCTGTCTATCTATCTATCTATCTATCCTATCTTATCCTTATCCTTATCCTTATCCTATCCTTATCCTATCCTATCCTATCCTATCCGATCCTATCCTATCCTATCTATCCTATCTATCCTATCCATCCTATCCATCCTATCCATCCTACCCATCCTATCCATCCTATCCATCCTATCCTATCCTATCCTATCCTATCTATCCTATCTATCCTATCCATCCTATCTATCCTATCTATCCTATCTATCCTATCTATCCTATCTATCCTATCTATCCCACTATCCATCTATCCTTCGATCCATCGATCCATCGATCCGTCGATCCATCTATCCATCTATCCATCTATCCATCTATCCATCTATCTATCCATCTATCTTTCTATCTAGTATCAACATATATCAAACATACTGGGCATGGCGATACCAATACTTCCCAAGACGGTGCAGCTCACCAAGGATGGACGTTTTGCAATGCGGTCAAAGCGACCTGAAACCAAGCACCAAAGCAAGTTGTCTTGTTAGCCTTCAATACAAAACCCTAGCGAAAACGTGTGAAAACCATAGTAAAGTTCGATCTGTCGCTTCCTAAACACCTTGAAACAAAGCTGTAACAAAGCTTTTGGGGCAAGGTCTCTCTCGGCTTGGGTTTTCAGATTCTGGGGTGCTTCGATTGTAGATGTGGGAGGTTTCAAAACTTCTTTGTGCCATGATTCTTTGGCAACCTGCACACGACTTTCCCGCTGTGATTCTGCCCTGGTCATGGGCACTTCGAGCCACGCAAGTCACAAAATCACGCCTCTTCAGCTAATCAGTGAGTAATAAACACAATATGAGAAACTTCGTTATATAGGATATACATGGAGATGCCAAAGTAATGCATGGATTCTATGGGTTTTGATCACCACTTACGACTTACGATTCCTGGCGCCACTGCCAACGCAGGCCTTGATATTGTCAAACTGGCACTTGTGGTAGCCGCAGTTCAAGGCCACCTTCAACCCCAACGAACCCATTCTTGACAAACTCTGGGGATCATGGGCTACTCTCTATGGACCATTGATGAGTGATCCAGTAGTCCAAAAACCTTTAACTAAATGGGACCATATCATATAACTATTTTCTCTCGGTCTCTCTGTCTCTCCCCTCCTCATATGATTATTGAGCAGCAAAATTTTAACTAAAATAAAGTTTCAAACCAGTTCGCCACCTACTTACCCCAACCTGGACATACCCAACGCCTGTCCCATGGGGAGGCTTGTGTCAATGATGTTGCTCACCGTCTCCCCGTCGATGAGAGCGCGGATGCGGGCCTTGCTGACCTGTGGGCCGGGGATGTTGTGGCAAGGGATTATATAAAAACAATGGGGATATATCAACGAAAATTCCAGGGTCCTAAAAAGGAGGTATACCGTACATTATAAAGCAATATGTTGAGGGAATATCCCCTTACATAGGCCTTATATATGGAAGGTACCTCCAATTTATATTAGGTACCTGAAATCTATTGACTATTGAATATATACCCTCCAGCAAACTAACATAGCTATGAAAAATGACTCATCTATAGATGATTTACCTATTACCCTATTACACGATGATTGTCATAGCTATGTTCAGAGGTAAGGTGTATTGAACCATAACACATGGGGTAATCCCCTAATATGAAGTTCCATTTTGGATGGCTATATCTGGAATTTACTCATGGACCATCAAGAATAGGAATTAACCCATGAAAATGCAGATTTAACCATGAAACATCCATCAACGTTGGGATTAGGATGCTTCTGTTGGGAATTAATGATTGCATTCGTGTATATTATCGGATATTTCATGGGAAACAATTATTGTCTATAATTATGCATGGGACACAATGGGGATATCATATACCCAACTATATCGGTATATGATTAATGATATTTCCTCATCTACAACATGATAGATCTAACTGATATGATTTTTGGGTGTACTGTATCCAAAAATGTGCGTGGAACAGGATGTTATCCATTTAGATTTAAATGTGCTATTTGCAGGTATCAACCATGTTTAAATTTTAAACACAACCCAAAATAACTGCGTCCAAACATGTCCAAACATATGTGAAAGGAATGAAAACCCACATGGAACCCCAAAAGGTCAGGAATATGAGCACCATATTTGACCTCCAAGATGGAGTTCACAAACACACGTGGACCTTCGTTTGTCACTTCCCCATGGTTCATCCCCCAGGTGCACCCGACAGACACAGGGCTAATTCAAATGCTGGATGGTTCAGAATGGAAAATCCGATGAACATGATTAAAAATGGATGATTCATGATGATTAGGGATAGGGGATGACTGGGATACCCCATTTTGGGAAACACTATGAAACAGTTCTGTATGTGAAAAAACCCACCCACCTGGGATACAAATTTCACCATTGGGAGCCTCCAATCGCAGCTGAAGCCACCCCTTGCGCGCAATCTTTTCCTTGCTGGCATCACCTCAGACCCAGGGCCGTTTCCCACTGAAAATGCCAAGAAGAGGAGGGTACAAAGGGGATCCAAAGAAGTCAAACACAAAGATGGAAGTCGCAACACAACTACAATGGCATTCAATGGCAGTCAATGGCATTCATTCAATGTGACACTGGATCGAAACGTTAACCCTCTGGCCCCCTTGGCCCTCTGGTTTTCACCCCAAAACGGCTGCGATGATTCTTAGCAAAGGTTTCAGACACATCTCAACATGAGCGCAGCGACATCTCCTGCATGGTGATCATGTAATTAATTCCACTGCAAATGCGAAATAAATTTTCAAAATGCAAGGAAGACCCCAACAGCCAACCACCAAATGTTGGTGAATCTCATTGGTTGAGTCCCCAGATTTGTGGGTTCATGTGCCAGTCCAGTCAGTCATATATTTTAGCAACTTGGGTTTATCGGGTTCCATGGCTTTTAACCTATCTGCAGGAAGGCTAACAATTTTGAGGTCAAAAATGATTGTTTCAAGTGTCAACCGTAGATTTTCCCATAAATCAACCCAGTGAATTTCAATCCCTGCATATAGATAGATAGACGTTTTATGAGAAGTGACCAACATTAGGGGTCACAAAGGTGGTCTGAATGCATTTTTTGTTGGCCATATCCCTTTCATGTTTGGTAATAGATACAATAGCCGTGGATTTGGCAATCCATCTCCCACAAAAAAACGGTGAAAGGGGGAAACTAGGACAAGAGAGGTTGGAGGTTGGCTGGGAGGTTGTTATGTTTTTGTTCAATATTGTAAATCTAAATGTTTGACTGTTTCTTTTTGATTATCTTGCTAAATGTTTGTTGAGGTTGATGTAATAATGTTTAGTTTGGATGAGGGTAGGTTTTGTTGAGGGTGTTTTGGTTGTTGTGGTTTTTATGTTGTTGTTCAATGTGTGTTCCTTGGTTTTGATGATTTACTGGGACATTGTTAGGGGTGGTATAGGGTCTTAACTTTCACTGTTGATGTTTGGATTGAATGGGGGTAGGATTTGTTTAGGCTGTTGGGGTTTTATGTTTGGATTGAGATTTCATATGCCTAACATTCCAGTTTCATCATCTCCATTTCTCACAACTTTCGGTTTTTCCTTTCCCTTCAGTTTGGTTTGATGCTTGATGCTTTCTTCGTGCCTTTTGACCTGATATTTGTTTATGATACTTCCGCACACGGGACATTCAGTCTTCAATTCATTAGTGTCTTTCTTTTCCTCTGTTGTTTGTTCCTTTCTTCTTTGATGATACTGTATGGCATACTGTCTTAATTTGTCCCTGTTTTTCTCTCTGTATCGTTGCTTTGCTTCTAAACAGTTTTTACACTGCTTACATTCATCTCTGTAATAGTTTAACGGTTGAAAGACTTTACATTTAGAACACTGTTTTTTGTCAGTCATTATACCTCTACAAGTTTAAGGGGTTATGTCTTTAAGGGGTTTTTAGGGTGGATTACTTCATAATATATTTTGTTAAGATATTATGAATTAATATTTTATGCTTTCCATTCACCTATTCCATCCCACCAGTGTTCAATTACTCTCATTTGTGATAAGCAGGGATTGTTTGTATCGTTTAGTTCATCCATCGCTATTGATAAAAGGGTCAAATTAACACTCATACAAAAACACCCACCTCTTCTATTCAATTCTTTTCCGCATTGTATGATTATATCTTTATTGGTGAGGTTTTCATACATTCGTTTGATGATGTCAAGTTGTTAGTTTGTGTATAAATATGTTAAACCGTTCAACATTACTTTCACTAACAACTCTATCAAGCACAAATTTCCAAAAATCAAAGTCTTCACGTGGTGGTAAGGGATGACATTTTACAAAGTCTCTAATCTCTTCATTTTTTTTTCTATTGCTTTTCTTTCCCAGTCATCGTCCTCGCTTTCACTACCGAAGTCAGCATATATACCGATATTATTTCTATCTATAACCTGATTTTTTGCTTTACTCATTTTCTCTTACTATATATAGTTATTTTTTCTTTAAGTATTTACCACTTTTTGTAGGCGTTCTTTTATTTCTTCTATGTTCAAATATTTCTCATAACCGTTGAACAGTTCTTCGGTGTATTCACACAAAAATATTTTCAAAATGTCATTTACCTGAAACTCCCTATTTCTGAATGTATGAGTCCAATCGTTTTGAGGAAACCACCACTCACGCTTGTTTTTACAATACTTCATATATGTAAGGTCGTGAAAGTCTTTAAGGAGGTGATAGGTAGTTTCCCACTCCCTTTTCACAAAAGACTTAATCGCCATTAAGAACAGTTTGTCGTGTTTGAATTCTTGCTTGAGTTTGAATGTATCCATTAAAACATCAATTTCTCTTTTCATTTGCCGAGTGTTTGTTCGGTGCGTGTTGGATAAATAAATGTGATTTTTTCCATCCTTGTTTTAAAAAAATAGATTGTCTTTTCTACTCTCGTCAGTTTGTTTATCATTAAAATAGTCAAAATGATAATTGAAATCTATGTATCTACGCTCCCTATCGTTTAAGTCTTTACATTTTGAACAGTGAAGGTTGTAATCACATATCTCATCACAAATTCCAGCGGGGAAAATATTGTTTAGTAAAACCTTTAGGTTAGTCATTTCTTTTTTACAACATCCACGGTTTTTATAAGTAAATAGCATCCTCTTACTATATATAGGTAATTTTTCTTTAAGTAGTTTTTGGGGGCTCGTTCAGTTTTCGGGTTCGGGTTGGTTTTTATTTTCCCTTTCCTCCTCTTCCAGTTCCTTTATAACCGTATCTATTTCACTCATTCCTTCGTTGGGGTCTTGTCCATTGCGGAGGTTTCTTAACCTCTCAAAATCCTTCACTTTGTGTCTTTCATTGGGCGGGAGGGTTTTGAGATGTTCCTTCAACTCTGTCAGGTCAAAGTATGTGTCGTGTTCTTCATCCTCATTTTCCAAAAACATTTCCATTCGTTGCTTTTCCATTTCCAAAAGTTTGTTTTCCATTTGTTGGAATTTCATTTGTTTCTTGCCACACTTTCCACAAACATTCACGAAGGTTTTTAACAAATAATTCCAATTAGGTTTTTGTAATCACCATTGTTTAAGGTGATACACTCGCTCATAATACGACATCCACAGTCAAATTTAGTCATCTTACCTATTCTTACTATATATAGGTATTTTTTCTTTAAGTATATTTTTCATTGCTGATAATTTTTAAAATCTAATATTATAATATATGGCAAGGAGACTATCAAGAGATGACATAATAAGCAATGTCTATTACAATCTTGAAACGGGCTTCGGTTCAATCAATGAGACCCTCAAGAAAGCCAAGGAACAAGACCAGTCCATCAACAGGGTGGATGTGGAAAACTTTATGAGGAAACAACCCAACAAACAGATTAGAAAATACAGGGGTTCAAACTCCTACACCGCACCCTTCGCAAGGTTTGATTTCCAGATTGACATAACGGATATGAAACCCCTTACCAAAGAACCAGAGACAAAAATTCCAATCAAGAATGATGAACCAAGATATGCGATGGTTGTTATTGACATCTTCAGCAAGTTGGCTAATGTTGTCCCTATGAAAGAAAAGTCAGGAACAAATGCCCTGTCGGCACTGAAAGAGAGTTTCAACAAAATGGGTTTTCCGATGTCCGTTTATAGTGATAATGACCGTGCCTTCCAAGCAGGGGTAAAAGACTTTTTTTGAGAAAGAAGGCATCACTCACGTCGTCACCCTAACTCACGCTAATGTTGTGGAGCGTTTCATAAGGACAATGAAAAATCTGATGCACGACAGGGTCAGGTTTAATCGTGGTAGTTGGACTGTTTTGTTGTCCAAAGCATTGGATAAATACAATGACACCGTCCATTCATCCACGAAAATGAAACCCAAGGATGCCCACGACGACAAGAACCATATGGACGTCAGGGTGAATTTGACAAGGAGGGAAAAGAACACTCGCAAATATCCAGAGGTCAAAGTGAATGATATGGTCAAGGTCTTTGAGAAGAAAAAAGACAACTACACCGAGAGGAAGGAGTATAACTCAAAATGGAGCAATCAATCCTACAAAATCGTCAAGATAGAATACGATGATGTTGGAAACAGAACCTTCAAACTGGAAGGATTGAACAAACCGTATTTGAGACACGAGATTTTGAAAGTATAAATTACTCTACTTCGTGTGATCCCCACCATGACATGTCAGGACGTATATTTGGACATATATTTAGTATATTCTGACATCCTATCTGACATATATTCTGGCATATATTCTGGCATTCTATCTGGCATATATCCTGACATTCCACCTGGCATTCTATCTGGCAGTCTATCTGGCATTCTATCTGACATATTTTCTGACATTTCACCTGACATATATTCTGGCATTCTACCTGTCATTTATTCTGACATATATTCTGGCATTCTATCTGACATATATTCTGGCATATATTCTGGCATTCTATCTGGCATTATATCTGACATATATTTTGGCATTAATTCTATCTGACATATATTCTGGCATATATGTTGGCATTCTATCTGGCATTATATCTGACATATATTCTGGCATTCTATCTGACATATATTCTGGCATATATTCTGGCATTTTATCTGGCATTATATCTGACATATATTTTGGCATTCTATCTGACATACATTCTGGCATATATGTTGGCATTCTATCTGGCATTATATCTGACATTCTATCTGACATTCTATCTGGCAATCTATCTGGCATTCTTTCTGGCATTCTTTCTGGCATTCTATCTGGCATTCTATCTGGCATCCTATCTGACATTCTATCTGGCATTCTATCTGGCATTCTTTCTGGCATTCTTTCTGGCATTCTATCTAGCATTCTATCTGGCATCCTATCTGACATTCTATCTGGCATTCTATCTGGCAGTCTATCTGACATTCCTACATGAGGTCCGGCAGGGAACACTTGGCGTGGATACTCGCAGTTGAGGTCCGGCAGGGAACACTGGG